TTTATCATTTAAATAACCACAGACATGGAGCCGCTCTCTTAATCACTGGTGACATTGACCTGGGTCACTGGTTGAGGAAGCACTTGTCAAGTTTTCAACTTTAAAGTTATTTCTTTTCGTTTCTTCTTTCCAAAACTGTATACTTTAGAGAGGAGTCAATAAGTTCAGCCCATTCTTTGGGGCTGGGGACTTTGTGTTGTCCATCTAGTCTTTGAATGGAGGCTTGTTATGGTGTATGGTCAGCTTGTCAGGGGCCACATCATTAAAGAAAATGGACTCTCCTTCTCTTAGCAGCCATGAAATGTCAATAGCTCCTCAATGAGTGGTAGCAACATTCCCTCCTCCACACTGGGATTTTGTCTGGCTGGAGCTCTAACAGGTTTCATTCATGATGTCACAATCTCCATGAATTCATAAGTTCATCTGCCATATTGTGTCTGGGGAACAACATTTACTTAAGTTATTCACCACATCTGGCTCTTAACAATATTCCTGCCTCTTCTGAAAAGAACCCTGAGCCTTTGAAGGAGGGGTGTGATATGAATATCCACAGTATTTTGCTCTCTGCACAATGACCAGTTGAGGGTTTCTATGTTAATTGCTATCTACTGCAAGAAGAAGCTTCTCTGATGAGAGATGAGAGGTTCTCTGATCTACGAGTATGGTAATAAATCATTCTGTTAATATTATGTCCATTTGGCAGAACATTATTGGATTCTCCTTTGGGGCCTGTGATTCTTGACCCCTTTAATAGTGCTAGGTATGGGTGACATGTCATCCGCTGTGGATAGACATGCAAGCTATTTCCAGCCCTGGATTATTATATATATATATATATATATATATATATATATATATATATATATATATATATATATAGCTTTAGACACTCTTTCATAGTTCTTATGGTAGATGGATGTCCTCATTTTTCCTGAATAAATAAATATGTAAGAGTAGACTTGCCAGGTCCAGGTGTAGGAGTTCTGAAAAGAAACACAAATGACATGGATGAGTGGTGGATGGATAGGTAAGTAGATAGACACAGAAATAGGTAGAGAGACAGACCCCATTTCTGGTACCAAGTTCTGTATTAGTTACATTTGTTGTTGTGATAAAAGGCCATGTCCAAGGCAACTTACAGAAGGAAAAAGTTGTTTGAGCTTGGAATTCTAGAGGGAGAAACTGTAATGCTGCAGGGGGCGGGGGATGCACAGCAGCAGGAGGCTGGGGCAGGAAGCTGAGGGACTACATTTCAACTGCAAGCCTGAAACGGAGACAGCAAACTGAAAGTTTCATGAGGCTAAAACTCTCAACATCTGGCCCCTGTGATATACTTCCTCCAACAAGGCACCACCTCCTAAAGGTTCCAGAACCTCCCCAAAACAGTACCACTAACTGGGACCAAGTGTTCCAGACCATGAACCTATGAGGAGACATTGCTCAAAGCACCCACACAGATACGATAGATAGATAGATAGATAGATAGATAGATAGATAGATAGATACATACATACATACATACATACATACATACATACATACCTACTTACATACTTACATACATATATAGATAAATACATAGATACAAAAATAGATTGAAGGAAATTTATTATGAGAATTGACTCAAACAGCCACAAACACAAGTGAGAAGTCCCACAATTTGATGTCCTCTCTGGAGACCCAGGGAAGCCAGAGGTTGATTTCACCTTGAGTCTGAAGGCCAGAGAATCAGGTACTTAAGTGTTCTACAGCAGGAGAAGAGGATGTTACAGGTGTGGAAGAGAATGCGAACTTACTCTGTCCTAACCCTCAATAGATTTGGGGGTACACAAATCTTACATCTATGTGATGGGTTAAAAATCTAATCTCCAACAACTGCTCTCAGACACACCTAACGTGAATAAAGAAGTAAGGTTGTGCCCAGCAATGTGTGTATCCCCCCAACCCAGTCAAGTTAGCACATAGAATTAACCACTCTGCCATCTGGACTCACACCAGGTAGCTCAGCTGTGAGGCCTGGTCCCAAGCTGTCAGTCATTTGAGTCTGGGCTTGAAGGTCACCCATACGCAGGAAGAGCCATTTCCCCAGTGTCTTCCGTATCCATAGGCAACCATTCCTTTCCACCACACATTCAAATACAGTGTTTATTTAAATGGTTATTAGTGTTTATTCATTGTACACAGCAATGGGTTTCACAATATTTTAATTCATAAATATATACATACATATACAATTATGATCTAGGTCCCCATATGACAGAAAAGATGCAATAATTGTCCTTGTAAGTCTGGCTTATTTCACTTAAAAAGATGATCTCCAGTTCCATATAATTTCTTGCAAATAATAACTTATTCTTCTTTACAGCTTTATAAGACTCTCTTGTGCACACAGACGACATCTTCTTTATCCACTCATCTGCTGATGGACACCCAGGCTGATTCTGTCACTTGACAACTATACATAGTGCTGCACTAAACACAGATGTGTAGGTATCTCTGTGGTACACTGACTTAAATCCCCCCCCTTTTTTTTTTCGAGACAGGGTTTCTCTGTGTAGCTTTGCGCCTTTCCTGGAATTCACTCTGTAGCCCAGGCTGGCCTCGAACTCACAGAGATCCACCTGCCTCTGCCTTCCGAGTGCTGGGATTAAAGGCGTGCACCACCACCGCCCAGCAAATTTTTCCCTTTTCCTAAAGTTACACACTATACTTACAGTCGGTTTCTTCTTTGCCTTACCTATTACATGAACTTGAGTAGCTACTATCCATATGAGACTGTGTCATTTGCTTTAGGACACAGAGCAGTGCCTGAACGCATAGGCAGGCACCCTGTTCTGTGTATGAGGCATGTAAGAAAATGAATCCTAGTTGATTCTATTTAGTGAGGACCCACTATGTGCCAGAAACAGGATGCAGAACTTTGTGATATCTTCAGGAACCTGGTTAGCCAGCAAGGCTCCTAGAGTCTAGGTTGAGTTTCTCAGCCGAGACCTGCTCTCACCTTCTGTCAGGAAGGGCTGGGCAGGAGGGCTCCCTGGAGGAGGCACATGACGACCTCTCCCGGGCTTCTCTCCCACTTCTCTGGCTCAGCATTACCATGCCCCCCCCCCCTTCCTCTGCTTGCCCCTTGCATGCCAGTGAGGCACAGCGTCTGGCTAGACCAGAGCTTGCAGACCAGCCAGCACCAACCCACAGACAGGTTTTATTTGGCCCACACAGTCATTTTTTTTTATTTGAATTCATTTTAACATTTAAAAGCTGAGGGATTTTTGCTTTAAAAATATCCAGATTTCTGTCTTCGTTTGGAAATTTGGAACATCTGGTGAGGCTGGGTCCCTCTTCCCATATGGCCAGCATTGGCTGAAACTAAATGGCACTGACCACGTGGTCAAAGCCAGCTTCTCTACACCCAGCCTGAATTAACTAACGCCTGTGGAACCCGAGGTCATTTGGGAATGGTGTCCCCATCTGGGGACTCTAGAATGTCACATGGAGCATCTGGGAATAATCTCTCCATATCTCTTCCTGATGAAACAGACAGGGTACAATGCTAGGTGGAAGTCAGGCCAACAGACCTGTATCAGAAGGTACCACAAAACTCTGATCTAGCCGGGCAGTGGTAGCGCACGCCTTTAATCCCAGCACTGGGAGGCAGAGCCGGGCAGATCTCTGTGAGTTCAAGGCCAGCCTGGGCTACCAAGTGAGTTCCAGGAAAGGTGCAAAGCTACACAGAGAAACCCTGTCTCGAAAAAACAAAACAAAAACCACTCTGATATAATAGGACAGGTGTCTCGAGTTGAATCAATACAGGATAAAGCAATTCCCCAAAGAGGCTGCCTTCTGGGACCAAACCACACACTCAAGAGGCAGAGAGACGGAGGCAAATGGCAAATGGAGGAGAGAGGCAGAGAGAGAAGCAATTCTCTCTCTCTCTCTCTCTCTCTCTCTCTCTCTCTCTCTCTCTCTCTCTCTCTCTCTCTCTCTCTCTCTCTCTCCTCTCCCCTATTGCTACCCCTTTCCTACCAACTGGACCAAAATGTAGGGATGGGATGGGTGGATTACCTTTCACTCCCTCCATCTCATCCCCCTGACCAGAAAGAAACATTACTGGGTATTTCAGGGGCAAAGACTAGCCCTTCTCCACACCAAGAGGTACCCTTGAGTAGCACCCTGGGAATGTTAGTTCTAGGTCACACAGTGAAGGCCTGGGTGATGATGTCATGGTGGTCAGGTCCCCTCCAGGTTCTCTATATCCCCTTCCTCGTCTATCTGTGTGACTTTAGTGACTTCCTATGAGACCCAAACAAGTATTTTCTCTAGAAGATACCTTGTAAAACTTTAAAGTGAATGGCAAGGGGTGAGGGTCACTGTATAGACTGAAACAGTTTGGAGGAAGTTTCAAAGACCTGGGAAGCCACCTAATACAGGTGGGATGAGTTCCTCTACGGATAACAGGAGTCCTTACAATTAGTCTTTACAGCATATGCAGGTCTTTAAAAACATTCTGGAAGGGTCTGTCCACACAGGAAGGCTTCTGTCTAAAGACGGTTCGTATACAGATTAGGACATAGTGGGAGGCGGGGGGGGGGGGAGGAGAGGACTTTTATCCAAGCACAAGCCCTTTTTACAACAGAGAATGTCTTTAGAAAAGTGAGGAATTTTCATTGGCGCGCCTGGCTATTACCTACAAAATGCTGCTCAAATACTAATGACCTTTACACCAAGGTGAAGGTTTTACGTAAGGATAAAGAGCTTGTGTGCTTCAAAGAGAAATCACAGTATCCTGGCTCTTGCACGTACGGGGACAACGAAGGCTAATCGATTTTGTTCTCAGCACAGCTCAGCCCCTGGATACCACTGACTTGAGCAAAGACCCTGCACCTGCTCAGGCAGCAGGTGGGAGCCCGGGAGAGGGCGGAGCAACGGGGCCCACTGCTCACGCCGCATTGCCTCCGGTGGCCGCCAGGGGCAGCACCGAGGCACCTGCCGCACCTCCCCCTCCCCAATCTCCACCCCCCGCCCTCCGGGCTCCTGCTCCCGGGAGCCCCGCAAACCCCGCTCCGCCCGCGCCCCGCACAGCACCGAGGCTCCCAGCCCGGTCCGCCCAGCTGCCCCATCCCGGGGCCATGGGGGCACCCCCGGGCTACCGACCCTCTGCCTGGGTGCATCTCCTCCACCAGCTGCCCCGCGCCGACTTCCAGCTCCGACCGGTGCCCAGCGGTTTTGCGCCCCGCGACCAAGAGTACCAGCAGGTGGGATGGCAAACAGGGGCCAGGTCCCCGGGGAGCAGGAGGCTGGGTCACAGTTCCTGCGTCTTGGGGACTGGAGACCCGGCCTGCGTTTGGGGGTACAAGAGCAAGATTAGCGGTAGAGAGCTCATACCTTAAGGTTCCTCCCTGGGACGTGCGCTGGGGATGCAGACCCCTCTCTCCAGAAATAAGAGGAAGCCAGGAGCCTGGACCCCCAAGAGTCCTAAATGGGAGGAGATGAGGCCCCAGCATTTGGGTTCCTGAGACCTGCCTTGGAAGCCAGTCTCCAGGGTCATCTAAGGAAAGATCTGCTCCTGAGGTTCTAGGCGAGAAGGACCCCGCCCCCACAGGATCCCAGCTAGTAAATATGTCCCAGATAAGGGGGTACCCAAGAGAGAGGACCGAGAGCGGGAAGGCTGGGGCGGCAGCTGAGGTCTGGGACAGGGATTGATATCCTCAAATAGGGATGAGAGATTTTAGGGCTAGGGCTGGGGAATGAGGTGAGGTGAGATAAGGATTCAGGGTGCTTTCGGCCTGTCCCAGGACAGAAGACGCTGTCAGGGCGCCAGAGAGGATCGGGTGGAGATGAGGTTAGGTTTGGGGCCACTGAAGACGACAGGCCTGGGTCCCAGGAGGGTGAGGCTGGTGGTGGAACCTCACAGAAGCTGGGTCCCCAGGGAAAGGGGCCCAGCTGTAGCTCTGGGTTGGGGGGTGGCTGTCCCCTGACCCAGTTTAATTCAAGTCCTTGACTTTGAGATTAATGAGAAAAGCTTGGCTGAGCTGGGGGCCTTCGGGGGAGGGCGGGGGCTGGGAGTCAGCCCCCGCCCTCCCCCCAAGTCTGAACCTCTGCGGCTGTTCAGGGTGGCTTCTGGGAAAGGGGCACAGGGTTGGGAGAGCTTCGAGGGAGGGGGGTGTTCCCAGAAAAGCAGCAAGGGGGAACGTGTGCTGTGTGCTTGCTATTTGGGTCATGGCTGGCACAGCCTGAGCGGCTCCTCCCTGCCTACTCCACCCGCCCCCTCTCCCCTCCAAACGGGGACCGCCATCCCCTCGCCCACAGCCACTTACACAATCACAGCCTCCAGCCGGTGGGTCCACCCACTCCCAAACAGACTCACGGGGCTTATGGCTCTGGAGAGCTCCTCAGCCACGAGGATTCCCCCGTGGGCCCCCAGCACCACCACAGACGCTTAGAACAGTTTGCTCAACCTGATCCTCAGCAGTCAGAGTCAACGCTGGGGCACACACAGTCCCATCACGGGGACATTCTTCTTCGTAGAAATGACACACTACGAGGGACTCTGGGACAGGACCTTCAGGATCTCATGCCCAGTCACATATACACAGCACCCTCATGTGTACACCACCACACACACAGGCACCTTCATACACACATACACATCTACCCCCCCCCCACACACACAAACTCAAACTCACCCCAAGTCACACATACACTCACATAGTCCACCCATCACCCCTCACTGATTGAAGAAGCTATGTTTAGAAAACATTAATGCCCACAAGCATTCTCTTGCACATAGACATGCAGCATGATATACACAAACACCTTATACTCACACTCCATATGCCCTCCTCTGGTGGAAGGCAAATTCACAGCCACATAAACACTGCACACACTTGTCACTCCCACAGGTGATGTGGAGGACAGGGAGATAGGCTATGGTTTAGGGACCATAGTCCCTGGGATTGCAGGGCTGTGATTCCAGACCCCATACTGCCCCTGTCCTGCTGTGTGGCTCCAGGTAAATCCTGTCCAGCTCTGGGCCTCGGAGAAGACACGTGACACAGGTCTCCTGAAAGACCCTACCACATGCAGAGCCCACAGTTCTGTAATTGACTGAGACACGGCCTCACTCTGTAGTCCAGGCTGGCTGGAGTTTATGTAACAGGGAATGGCCTGAAAATATGGCGATCTTCCTGCCATAGCCTCCAGAAGGCTGGGGTTACAGGGGTGTGGTGCCATACCTAGCTCAGAGCCACTGTGTGCTGCAAGGTGTTCGCAGCTGTTAACATCCCTTTGCCTCTCTTCCCTTTCCTCCGTCCTTTGGGTCTCAGTATACACTGCCCTGTCAGTCTCCTTTCTTCTATAGTTCTTTCTCTATATGGTTCTTTCTCTGTGTCTCTTCACCTCTCTGTCTTTCTCTCTTTCTTCCCTTCGCTCCCCTGTCTCTGGTTTGATCCCTCTGGTGTTTTGTGTGTCTCATCTCTACCCCCTTCTTTCTTGTCTTTGACTCTGAGCCTGTGTATCTGTGTCACACACCACACACACACACACACACACACACACACACACACACACACACACAGCTGTCACAGCACCCTGTCCCCAGCCCCAGCCCTGGGGTGACAGACTCAACTGCGGTGGGTGTGTGAGCTCAGCTCAGCAGCAGGAGGGAGAGGCGGTAAAGAAGGCTGCCTCTCCTGCTCTCCTGAAGTATGGAAATGGGAGCCTTCCTGCCCCTTCCTGCCTTACAGTTCAGAGGGAACCTCAGGGAGTCCTTGGGACGTGTTGCGTTCCAATTGCCTGGTCGCAGTGAGGAGTAAACCAAGGTTCAGAGAGAGGGGGGCCCTTTTGAGGCCACACAACCTGGGAAGAACTGTCCAGGGCTGGAACCCAAAACCTGAGTCCCCTACTTGGATGCGGCCTCCAGCAACCTAGCCCTAAATTCTGGATGGGCCTCAGCTGTTAGTCTGAGAGAGAATAGGTATCTCATCTTTTCCCACAACCTGAACACCATCAAGGACTGGGCTTTGCCCCCATCCATGCAGCTGAGGAGGAACTTCTTGTCTGGGACATGAAAGTGCTCTCAGAGGCTTCTCATCACTTCCTCCTCAGGCCCTGCTGCTGGTGGCAGCCTTGGCTGGGCTGGGTTTGGGCCTGAGCCTCATCTTCATCGCTGTCTACCTCATCCGCTTCTGCTGCTGCAGGCCCCCGGAACCCCCTGGGGCCAAGAGTCCCCCACCAGGAGGAGGCTGTGTCATCTGGAGCTGCATCGCTGCCCTCCTCGTGGGCTGGTAATGGGGCCCCAGGGTGGGTGGGGAGTAGGGGGACAGAGCTCTCTACACTTGCAGTCAGCCTTCTTCATGATACCTTGGGGTGTGGGCGCAGTCAGGGGAGAGAATCCCTGGGCACTGCCAGTGCCTGTCTGCTTGGTGAGTGGAGGGCTAGAGACTTAAGGAGGACTAAGCAGCCAGCCTGAGAGTAGAATTGAAAGCCTGGGACAGGTTTGGGGTTTTCAGTGGTTCTCTCACTACTTAGGGGAGTGAGATATTCTCTCTAGACTTCAGTTTCCACATCTTTGAAGTGGGTTTGGCAGTGCTGCCCGGACCCCAGTTACACGGAGAGAGTGCACACAGCTCCTGGGTCCAGGGGGTGTCCTCTGTGTTAACACTGATCAAAGAGTTATTCATTCACTGAGCTCATTCACTCAACAACTGAGCATAACTCCCGTGTGCCAGACACTGACCATGCCAGCCTGGGCACTCTGCGACTCCGAGCCACAGTTCCAGTCAGGGAAACAACAGGCCTTCCAGGGTCACCAGCAGCAGCAGCAGCGCCTGCTCAGCCCCCACCCAAGCTGGGTCTGAGTCTTTCTCATGATAAGAGCTGTGCTCAAGCTGGCCACCCCTGGTTCTGAATGAGGGAAGCTCGGGGAGGAAGAGAAAATGACTTTTTAAGCCCACCCAGTTTAAGAGGCAAGTGGAGATTCAGGCTCATGGAGAAAGAAACCCTCCCTACCCGCACCCCCCTCCCCCCAGGACCCTCCATAGGAACTCCATAGGAACTTCAGTGAACTTGACAGCAAGACTGCTGACCCCGAGTCCAGCTCCTCCTGGGTCATGGCTAGTTAGCTGACTTATGTCACCTATAAGAGGACTAAGGATTTGAAGGGGTTGAGACCTGCTGGGGACCTCATGCGTGGTCATCAGGAGCCCTATAGGAATGTGGTGCCCCCTCCAGCCAGCTGGGGGTATGGCCTGGAGTAGTCACCCCAGTCTGGGCTCTGGGCCACTCTTCCTCGTTGTAGGAAGAAGAGGGTGTGTGTTTGGGAGGATACGAGGGCTGGGCGCCCTATATCCAAGATGTTTTCTCATCAGGCTTTCCAGAATGGGGGTGGATGGGGGAAGCTGACAAAGACCCAGTGGGGGAGAGACACAGCCCCAGCCCCCTCAGAGCCTGGGAACAAGAGGAGCTTTGTAGGGTTCTGAACAATGGGGCAGGGGCAGTAGGCTCCCATCCAAGGGATGGGGTGGGGGCCTGTTTAGCCCAAGGCTGGGAACTGTGAGGGCATCAGGCTCTCGCCCCCTCCAGTGCGAGGCACAGACTCAGGGAGGAAAGTGGGTCCCCATATTCAAGCTCCACAATGGAAGTCTGTGTGTTGGCTGGGCAGGGGCAGGGGCCCAGCTCCTGGCCTGGCCTCCAGCCCTCCCTCCCACATTCTCTTACTCCTCTTCCAGCTGGCCAGATGCCTGGATCCCTGGGCAGCATAGGGGAAGGCTGAGAGCTCCAGGCACAATGTCTTTTACAAAAGAATAGGGGCTAGGGACCTTGTGCTCCTAAGAACCTTGAGGAGGCAGGGGCAAGGACCACCTGGGCTAGGAAGAGACAGGTGTGGATGGCCTAATGACTCCTAAGACAAGGCTGTGAATGCGGGGTGTTTTGGCAAAGGATGCCGGAGTGGGTTGTGAGCTGATCGTAATTAGGAATTGATAACCTTTTATCCAGGGCTAGGCAGAAACCAGGGTTCCATTCTGGGGAGGTGCGAGTTAAATCTGGGGGGCTCCTTCTTTTCCTCCACTCCGCCCACCATTAGCATCACAATGACGTCTCTCCAGCTGGGGGAGTGAGGTCTTCAGGTTACCTTGGCAACTGGTGGAGGCCAACCTTGAGCTGTTCTTTTTCCCACGGAGGGTGAACCAATAGGGTGGATGCAGAGATTGGATAGGCAAATGAAGCAAAGAGGAGGGTGGGTGCCGCGTGGAGGCATGGTGCCTGCCCTCCAGGGTCTGAGAGGGCTGGTATTTCTTCTTCCTTCTTCTCTCAGTGCGGGCATTGGCATTGGTTTCTATGGCAACAGCGAGACCAGCGACGGGGTGTCCCAGCTCAGCTCAGCACTGCTGCATGCCAACCACACGCTCAGCACCATTGATGACTTGGTGAGGGGGCCAGCCACTGGCCAGACTGCAGACTCATACCCCAATTGGTCTCCCCATGGGACCGTGGTCCCCCGCTGAGGAACAAAAGGAGCCAAAATCAAAGCAGATCCCAGACCAGAAACCTAATCCCCAGATGCAGAACTTCAAACTCAGACCTGCAGACCTTAGGCCCTATGCTCTACCCCAGTGCTGCCACCTGGAGCTGGATCTAGAAGATTCAGACACAGAGAGTGAAGACTCAGATCCAGGCCCAGGCCTGCACTTCAGTTTATATCCCAAGCCAGAGACAAAACACCAAGGACACCAGTCCCTGTCTTCAGGCTAGAGCCAAGGCTACAGACCCTACACTTGGCCCAAATGCAAGCTCAGGGATCCCCCACTGGGAGATCTTGTACCCTAGGATTCCAGAGCTCAGGGCTGAGATGCATGCGCGTGTTGCAGTTTGGTGCCTACTTGTGGAGAGCCAAGGAATCAGATTTGAGACCCCAGACTCAAAAAGGCAGATGCAGACTTCAGACTTAAGACTCACTCTTCCATTTTGACCTAATTTCAATGCTGGGGTTAGAATCTTTACCTTGCCCTCAAGCCCCTGACCAACTAGAGCAGATGACAGGACCTGGGGGCCCTTTTCCCCAGTCTTCAGATGCCCCAGAACCCCAGATCTCTGGCAACTCACACTCCTCATCCCTGCTTCACCCCCGAGACCCCATCCTTCAGCCTCAACCCCAGGCTGTGGAAAAGGTTACCCCGGGCCTGAGACCACGTCCTCTCCCCAGGTGCTGGAAACAGTGGAGAGGCTGGGTGAGGCAGTAAGGACGGAGCTGACCACCCTGGAGGAAGTACTGTCAGAGCGCGTGGAGCTGGTGGCCGCCACCCGGGGAGCCCGGAGGCAGGCGGAGGCTGCGGCTCAGCACCTGCAAGGACTGGCCTTCTGGCAAGGAGTGTCCCTCAGCCCAGTGCAGGTGGCTGAAGATGTGACTTTTGTGGAGGAGTACAGGTAGGGAAAGGGCTTCCCTATTGTTTTAAGCATCGTAGTCTCAACTAGGCCCTGGGGGGTTGTGTGGGGGACAGTATCTGGAGACAGTTTTATTTGCCCCACTAGTTGGAAGAGAAGCTACTGTCACTTGGCAGGTGGAGGCAGGGATGCTATTCAGCATCCTATAGGCCAGCCCCACTGTGGAGAATTACCCAGTTGTGAATATAAGACCAGCCTGATAAACCCAGCTGTGTGGATGGGTCCAGAGGTTGAGGGCCCATCCTCATACTTACATACCCCCTCAATGATCTCTCATTCATTCACTCACTCAGCCGTTCCTTGACTCATTCATTCAGCAAATCAGTAGTAACTGGACTAATCAAGTAGCAAACCTTAGCTTTATCTAAAATTAGATTATCTGGGAGGCAACTGTGTTCACTGTACTGTGTTCACTGTGCAACTAAACATCTGGAGAGAGACGGTGCATATGATTAGGAACCTCAGCTTTAAGAGGCCACTCTGTATATGTACAGGCTTAAACAGGTTTCTTTCCATGCCTTGGCCTTGGTTTTCCCACCTTAAAGTGAGTCCTTTCATGCATAGCTCAAAATGCCCTGTGGAAAGTTAGTTGATAACCTTGAGTGTCTGAGACAAAGAACACACGGTGACTGATGAAATAGTCAAGTACAGATATGCCAAGCAGAGGAATGGCACAGGAAATGCCACCCAGGAAGGACTCTGCTCAGCCGGGAGAGCAATGGGAAACAGGCCTGTCATCTCAACTGCTCTGGAGGCTGAGCTAAAAGGGTTGAAAACTCAGGCCTGCCTGGGCTGCCGAGTAATTTCAAGGCCAGTTTGAATAACTTAGTGAGACATTGTTTCAAACCGAAGAGTCAAAACAAGGCCGAGGCCATGGATAACGGAAGGATATTTGCCTAGAATTGACTGGTGAGGGACTGAGAGTATGACTCGGTGGTAAAACGGCTGCCTAGAATCTCCCTGTGAGGGGCTGAGGGTGTGACTCTGAGGGTGTGACTCAGTGGTAGAGCCCCAGCCAGGAGTCCACCCGTGACATGATGGGCTAGGGAGCAAAGCTCCTGTGGTAGAGTCCGTGCCTAGAATTCCACAATGAGGGGCTGGTTTTGTGGTTCTGGTAGAACATTTATTTACCTAGAATCCAGTCCTGAGGGGCTGGGAAACATGACTTGGTTAGAGTTGCCTGCCTAGCGTGTGTGAGGTTTTACGTTCACAGAGGAGGTCTCGGGGCCGGGGGGTGGGGGTGGGGGGTGGGGAGGGGAGGAGGAGTGACTAGAGAGATGGTTCCAGTGGTTAAGGGTACTTGCTGCTCTTAGAGAGGACCCAGGTTCGGTTCCCAGCACTCACATGGCGGCTCACAGCCATCTGTAACTCCAGTTCCCCGGGCTCCAACACCCTCTTCTGACCTCTGCAGACCCCAGGTAGACGCACATACGTGTAGGCAAAGCAAACACATTTCCTGTGAGGTGGGTCATGAGAGCTTTGGAGCAGATAAAATAGGAAGGGGCTTGTCTGGGGACGGGCAGGCAGTTGATATCCGAGTGTTTGCAAGGGCCATGCTGAAAGGCGACACTGGAGGGCGAGAACAAGCTGTGAAGCCCTCCGAGGCAGCCATCCATCTCAGCAGCCAGCAAGACCAAGCTTTATCCACTCTTAGGTATTTCATTACTTCTTGCGTTCAGCTGACAACCCCGAGTCTCCTGTTCCCAAGCAGGGAGGCCGGGCTCCTTGGTACGAGCACATTGGGGCTGAAACAATCCCAGCGGAGGGTGCATGCTGCGGATCAAACAGTGGGAGGCAGTCAGGCCTAGGTCCAAGGGCCACAGGTTCTATGTCACGGTCAAACCTAGGATTCCAAGAGTCTGGTCGGGGAGGTGGAGGTGACGGTGCAAATGATGCTCAGCAGATGCTCTGTGAACGTGTCTGGTATTAGAGGGGCCCAGCAAATGCACTGGGGCCACGCGTGGAGGCATGACCAGGGGCAAGGTCTCAGAGAGTGCAAACCACAGTCCCGTGGGGACTGCTGAGAACGGCACTTTATTGAGCATTTGCAATGTGCCGAGCACTGAGTTTGGGCCTTCCGTGCATCTCCCTCTGCAGTCCTGGTGTGTTACTTATTTGATTACATATTATGGAGCATTCAAAGCCTCCCCTGGATGGTGATTTAGCTAACATTAACTTCACCCACAAGCCCACTCTCCTAAGACCTTTACATGTGTCCATTCATTCACCTGATATCAGATTGTGAAGTTGATCCTGATATGCCACTCAGGTTACTAGTAGGGAAACTGAGGCAAATAGGTTACATGGCTAAATGAATAATTGAGACCTAGACATCATACCTCTGAAGTGTGCAATAAGGTCCCAGGTAACTGACACCCTATAGTGCTGGCTCAAGGATCCATCCTATTCAGAGAGGCCACTGCCCGTGTCCACGACCACAGAACTTCTGTGTGATTTGGTCAGGGTAGGTCCCAGGTGCTTCAACTCCAGAACCTATGCTACAGAGCACTCCAGAGTCTTGTGAGCCTTGCACCATTTCATCAATGAACTTCACGGAGCAGCAGAGAGGCTGCCGGATCAGGCTGGGGTGAACCTGAGGTCCTGCTGGCCTCCAGAGGTCCACAGCCATGGCCCTTCTTCCTGCAGGTGGCTGGCCTACGTCCTCCTGCTGCTCTTGGTGCTTCTGGTTTGTCTCTTCACCCTCCTGGGCCTGGCGAAGCAGAGCAAGTGGCTGGTGGTTGTGTGAGTAGAGCGTATTGCACAGGGGAGGGAAATGCCGGGTTTCCGGCATGCAACATTGCTAAAGTCATGGGAAAGACGAAGATTGCGTTTGCTGTAGGCTAGGGGGGAGGGAGACATGCCAGATGCTTTCTCCCTTGGTTACCACAACAAACCCGTGGAGGGAGTGCCACCAGGTTGTCTATATGGCAGGTGAGGGACATGACAGAATGTGGGGACACCTAGGACCCATGTTCTTACTGAACAGTTCTCTGTGTGCCAGATACCATTCTTAGGACTTCATGGAACTCTCACATTCAGCCTCCCAGGGAGGTAGGCACTGACCTCTGTTTAACAGTGGGAGGTGGTGGAAGTCCATTGGGGCTAGATCAGGGCCACACAACAGTCAGGATGCACTGTGGTAGGGCTCAAGTCCAGCCTGCCCATCATGGGAAGAACCCATCCTCCTCCTCCCTTGGTGCCTACTGTCTGTGGACTCCTCCTGGGAGAGATGCCAGCATTAGATCCCAACGACTGCATCTAAGCCCTCATCAGGGCCTGGAGACTGATAGAACACACTGTGTTGAGCAAGTATGTGACTGGGGACCAGGTCTTCCAGTTTACAACAGCCGTCAACCTCCCCTACCACTCCATGACCCAGAATTATCTTACCCCTCACAACCCTGGACATAAGTCAAGACTTAAATAAGCTAAGCTCAGAATTTCAGAAATCAACTCTGGAACACTCCCCGTACCTTGTGGCTTAGAGGTTGAGAGAGTAGGGAAAAGATCGCTAAATAAAATGGGCTGTGGACAGGCCTGGGAGCTAGCTCCGAACCTACTGGACCCTGGACAATAACATCCCAGGAAATTCAGCTCATGGGTGGACAGCTGCCTCCTAGGGTCCAGGAACAGTCGGGATAATGGCTGCTGACCTGCCAACCAAGACCTTCCCCTCTCCTTTTCCAACTGAACAGATGTTCTATCTGACGTCAGTCTGGGCCTTACCCCACCCTTTACTCCCGTGCCTCTGCCTCTAATCCTCTAGGCTACAGAGGTTGGTGGGTACTGGGGAGGGCTGTGATTGGATGTGGGGTGTAGAAAGAGGCAAGGCTGATTAAGAGACCTGAGTCCAGCCACCTCCCCCTCTAGGATGACCGCCATGAGTCTCCTGGTGCTTGTCCTGAGCTGGGGTTCTATGGGCCTAGAGGCTGCCACAGCTGTGGTAAGTATGGGGCTCTGGATTCAGGTGTTTTGAATCCCGGGGTGGGCGTGACCTAATTAATGCCATAAATCCTAAGGCTTGGGAAACATGATCACAGTTCTGAGGTTTCAGCCTTATTTGCTGGGTCCTGAGAGAGCAGAGGCTGGGGTCTGGATTAGACTCCTCAGTCTGAGGAGGGCTAGAGTCTGGACCCCTGGGTTTGAGGGAGGAGGATTGGAGCCTGGACCTCTGAGTTCTGTGGAAATATGAAATTGGACATTTCTGGTCTGATCCCTTCCTGCTTCCTTCACCAGGGCCTCAGTGACTTCTGCTCCAACCCAGACACCTATGTGCTGAACCTGACCCAGGAGGAGACAGGGCTCAGCTCAGGTGATTCCCATAAATCCCTGCTGTCCTCTACGCTCCCTGCCACCCACTAGTGCCTAGTCTGTGGTAGAGTGCAGAACCATCTACCAGTCCCGGCAGGATGGTAAAAGGGTAGGATCAAAATGCCTGTGAGTGTGAGGGGAGGGGGAGGGGGCCATGGGCCTCAGTGATAGGAGGGTGTGACTGTGGGAGAATGTGGGGGATCTGCCCCCACTTTTTCCCCTAGGGTACTCTTGAGCAGGGAGAAGTGAGAAATACTTAGATAGAAATATAGAGGAGAGAGACAGAAACACAGGATAGCCTTGGGAGGGCCTGGGTCAAAACCCACCAGCCCCTTCTTTCTCTTCTAAAGGGCTATTTATAGAAATGCCGGGGGGCGGGGGGGGGGGGAGCAGAAGACCTCCCCCCAGCACAGCCAAGTACAGACCCTTCCAAATACCTAGTGACCATGCATGTGGTCAAGCCATCCCCTAATGCAGCCCTGCTGTGTAAAGCAAGCTCAGATCTCACTAAGAAACCTCTGTGGACCCCAACAGGAGAACAGGGAAGCATAATTAGGTCAGTTGAATCTGCTCCCAGATGTGAGTGAAGCAGAAGGGTTGAAAGTATGGGGTGTGATATTGCCCACCTATAATCCCAGCAATTAGGAGGCTGAGGCATAAGTTCAAGGGCAGCCTGAGCTATGTAGACCTTGTCGCACTGTGTTCTAAAACAAAGCAAAAACAGAATGGAGTTGGAGATGTCGCTCAGTTGGTAGAGTACTTGCCTTGCATGCCCAAAGCTTTACGTTTGATTCCCAGCAACACATAAAACTTAGCACAGTGGCTTGTGCCTGAAATCTCAGCACTCAGGAAGTGCAGGAAGAAAGATCAGAAGTTCAAGGTGATCCTCAGCTACATAGCAAGTTCAAGGCTGCTTTGGGCTACAGGACTCTTGTCTCAAAACAACAGCAGCAAACTGAACAACAACACAAGAAGGAAGAAGAGGAGGAGGGAAGGAAAGGAAAGCGGGGAAGGGGAGAGAATGGAAGGAAGGGGGAGAGCAAGGGGAGGGAAGGAAAGGAAGGGAAGAAGGGAGGGAAGGAAGGAGGGGAAGAGGAGGGAGGAAGAAGGGAGGATAAGGAACGGATAGGAGAGTGGCTAGCAGGTCTTTGAGACCCCAAGAAAGTTCCAAACTGGGTGGGGAATGTCCCCTGGGCTATGGCCCTCCAGATTTGCCCAGGGAGAGCCTGGGCCCAGGCTCATAGCCTGCTCCTTTCTCTCCCCCCCACTTCAGACATCCTCAACTATTATTTCCTGTGCAACCAGGCGGTCTCCAACCCCTTCCAACAGGTTAGGACTATGGGCAAAAGAAATGGGAATTGAGGAGATGGCTAACGTGAAACCTCAAGGGCATATGATGGGCTGTACTCCTGGGTTCCGTGGGAGGTGGAGGGTGCCATGGCCCAGAGTTGTGTATTCTAGTGGACAGACGGCATCATGGATACCCTGACCTGAGTGCTCCTCTCTCTTATCTCCCTGCAGAGGCTGACTCTGTCCCAGCGAGCTCTAGCCAGCATCCACTCCCAGCTGCAGGGCCTGGAGCGGGAAGCTGTCCCTCAGTTTCCTGCAGCACAGGTTAGGTCAATGGACGGTACCAGCCCGAGGGGAGAGAGGGCTGAGCCTGGTGAACCTGTGGGATGCTGGGCCTGCTCATATGACGGGACAGGTTGGCTTGGGTCAGATAGGCACGTGGAGCTGGCCCTTCTCCAAGTAGGCAGGGTCTCCTGTTGTGTGTAGAGTCTATGGAAAGGGGCGGGGCAATAGCGCTGAGCAGGTCTCTGGGCCAGAGCCTACAGGAAGAGGTGGAGGCAACCGAAGCTGACTGGTGTCTTGGGGCTGGGGTAGCCGTGGAGGTGAGGGAGGCTCTGGAGTGCTGCTGAACCTCTGCAAAGGGGAGAGAGGGGATGGTCCCTTTGGGAAGTGGGGCTCCTGAGTTGAGGTCAGGGCATAGTTTGCGGGGGTAGCAAAAGGACTGTGTAACTGTGTTCGTTCCCTCCCACAACAGAAGCCCTTGTTATCCTTGGAGGAGACGCTGAATGTGACAGAGGGAAGCTTCCACCAGTTGGTGGCGCTGTTGCACTGCCGCAGTCTGCACAAGGTGAGCTCCTGTGTGCTTGCTGGCCTGCACGCTGTCTGTTTCTTCCTCCCCCTTCTTTCTCCCCTCTCCTCTCCCTCTCCTTACCCCTCTCCCTCTCCTCTGCTGCTCTCTCTCTCTTTCTCATCCTCTCTCCCTCCTCCCATGTTTTTCATCTTTCACCTTCCCTTCTCCTCCTTGAAAGCTGCTCAGCCTCTTAAGCCCTGGAGTGAGAGCCTGGGCAGGCTCCCAGTTCCCAGGGTTGAATGCTCCTTCATGGACCTCTCGATGTGAAAGGGGCAGGGAAAAGCAGGGCAGGGCCACCTGTTCAAGCCCCACCATGGGCTCAGCTGTGAGCTGTGTGGCCTCAAGGGCCAGCCAGTATCTCTGAGTCTCAGTTTCCCCACCTTTACACCTTTGAAGGAACGATCATGAGCACTGCAAAGACTCTCAGCCTTACAACATCGAGAGTTGTTCTAAATGGACCTGCTTTCCTTGCTCACAGTCTCCCACAGTGTGTGTGTGTGTGTGTGTGTGTGTGTGTGTGTGTGTGTGTGTGTGTGTGTGTAGGAGTTCATGTAGCCCAGGCTTGCTTCAGACTAGCTGTTATAGCAGAGGATGACCCTAAGTGCTGATCGTTTTGCCCACACCTCCCTCCTGAGTGCTGAGATTACAGGTGTGTGCCATCGCACACCTTAGGAAGTATTGAGAATGGAACTCAAGGCCTCGTGCATTTCAAGCAAGCACTCCCCCAACCTGGCTACGTCCCCAGCCTCCAGTTTTTTTTAAAAAGTATTTTTCATTTTGAGGCAGAGTCTCATTAAATTACCCAGATACGGCTTGGATTCCCCATCTCCTGGCTTCAGCCTCCCCACTAGCTGGGATGGCAAGATCTTCCAGACCCAGCAGGGACTATTATTAGATATACTTTTCAAACCCAGAGACTAGGAGAAGACAATTGAGTGGTTTGCCCAGAGGGCAAGGACCTCATGGAAGGGTACTGAGCTGCTTCTGGCCTGCACTTCTAAACATGGCCAGTCTGTCCCCTTCTGCTTTTGAAACATTTTGACCCATCCACCACCCAAGGACTCACTGCAGATCAGATCTGCAGGACAGATGCTTCTTCACCACCTTCTGGTTATCTGTCTACCTTGGAATTAGCATGCAGATTCAGCAGAGAGATTCCTTTCTACAAGGAGACCCTAGCAACACCTGGGAGGTCCTTGTCCCAAAGCACTGTTTGCTGGGTATCCAAAGTCTGAAATTAATGTGGTATTCTGCCCCAGGGGGCAGGTACCAAAAAGTGAGCAATGGGGCACTGAGTAGGTATCCGAGAAGAGCCAGGGAAGGGTCCTTGCTTGTTTATACAGTGGCATGCTGGGACCCCAACTCTGTTTTATGACTCATGAAGATGCTGAGCTCCAACACTGGTTCCACGATGACTGTGAAGGGAGAGATGAGGAGTCCGAGTCTGTGCCCACCCTTGATAAGCCACATGACCCGGGCCTTGGTTTCCCATCTAGGCCTTTTTTTTTTTTTTTTTTTTTTTTACCACATGCTAAAATTAGGAGCAGGACTGAGAACATTGCTCTCTCTCTATGAAGTACTTGTCACACAATCATGAAAACCTGAGTTTGATCCCCAGAAACCATGGAAAAAGCAGGCCATCTGGTGCTGGTTTAAAATCCCAGCACTGAGCCTGGGCTACCAAGTGAGTCCCAGGAAAGGCGCAAAGCTACACAGAGAAACCCTGTCTCGAAAAACCAAAAAAAAAAAAAAAAATCCCAGCACTGAGGAGGCAGAGATAGGTGGCTATGTGGGGCCTGCTGGCCAGCCAGCCTAGCCCAATTGGTGAGCACCAGGTCCAGGTGAGAGAGCCTGTTTCAAAAACAAACACCACCTTGCTGACGGCGGTGGTGGCGCACACCTTTAATCCCAGCCCTCGGGAGGCAGAGGCAGGCGGATCTCTGAGTTTGAGGCCAGCCTGGTCTACAAAATGAGTTCTAGGCCAGCCAGGTCTACCCAGAGAAACTCTGTCTGGAAAAACAAGAACAAACAAACAAAAAAACCCAAAATATATTTGAACTTAAATCTTTGCCCCCACCCCACATGCACAGGCATCCAAACACCCCTTCCACTTGTACACACACACACACACACACTCAAACAAAATAGGAACAAGAAACATTAGGATGAGAAAGAATGGGCTGGGGGTGGTGGTGGTGCACACCTTTCATCTCAGCTCTTCCAGAGGCTGAGGCCAAGGCAGGTGGATCTCTGTGAATTTGAGGCCATCCTGGTCTACAAAGTGAGTTCTAGGCCAGCCAGGCCTGTAGGGAGAGACCCTGTCTAAATGAGAGACTTGGTTCCAGATTCAGCTCTGTACCTTCTAGGCTGTATGACTCTGTACAAGTAGATTGCCCACTCTCTGGGCTCAGCTTGCTTTCCATGACAGCCAAAGACAGCATTACCTGGGGCTGTTGCAAGGATGTGTGGGCATAGTATGTGTGTGCCTGCTGCAAACCTAACTGGTCAGTGTCCTGGTGGGCTCCTTAACCCTAGCCCTTGAACTAGGACGTCAGGACTGTCCTTCTCGCTCCCCATCCTCACTTCCCACTGCATCTGCTGCTCACACAGCCACCACGGCTGCAGACCCTGGCCCTCCTTACCTCCTTCCCAAGACCTCAGCCTCTTGCATGCCAGTCTTGCTCATTCCATCTGTCCAATGACAGCTGGTGATCCTTTCAAACACAATCGGATCAGAGTCTTCCTCTAAAAAACCTTGCGTGAATCCCCCTGCACATGGATTAAAGCCAGGGCTCCTGGCACTGACCTAGAAGAGCCTGTGTAGACGACAGCCCTACCAAAAGCTCTGTGGCCTCAGCTTTGGGGTTTCTACCCTTGTCTTCCACATCAGCCCGGCCACCTGCCTCTGTCTAGACGTAACCATCTGCCTGACTCCTTGTGCCCTTCTCAAATGGCCTCTGCTGGGCACAGTCCTAACATCTTACTGTCCTGCCAGCTTACCAGCCTCCGAGGTGGCCTCCTTGGTCCTATGTACTGAAGGTTGCCAGTGCTGGGGACATGCCTGGAGCAAAGGTGGTTTAGTCCATTCCTGCAGAATGAATCAGCATGTTGGCTGTGCCACTGGGCATTGAGGTCACTGTGGTTCTGCTGGCCTCCAGGGTGGTAGTCACAGTAGCCAGCCTCTTCTGCATGTGTTCCATGTGCCATGTCCAATCCTAAGTGTTATGTAAGCCAGCGATTTGTGGGTTCCAAGGGGCATTTGACAATGTGTGGGGATGTGGCTTTCCCAACTGCAGGAAAGGGTGCTGGCATCCTCATCTGTCAATAGCACTTGGCTGGAGCAAGGACAGGCAGGGCTGGTGCTGGTGGGAGGTACCAGTGTAGAGGCCCTCCCACCTAGGTTCCTGGGAGAGTTCTCTGGGTGCCTGAGTGATGATGCTAGACCACTTCGCATGTGGGGTGGGGGCATGGGATAAAATAGGAATGGGTTGTGAGGCTATAGCTCAGCAGAAAGGTGAACACATGGAATGACCATCCACGTTCAAAACAGTTCTCTGATGGGAGACTGCACTTGGGCACAGAGTCTGGGTGACTGACTCATGCAGTGCCACACAGCCAGGTAAATGGATGGTTGGACCTGCGTACAACTGGGTACAAAGTGCACATGTGCACACTCTCAGGCTTACCCTCTGCCTCAGGACTACGGCTCGGCACTCCGAGGTCTGTGTGAAGATGCCCTGGAGGGCCTGCTGTTCCTGATGCTCTTCTCCCTCCTGTCTGCGGGGGCCCTGGCCACCACCCTTTGCAGCCTGCCCCGTGCCTGGGCCCTCTTCCCGCCCAGGTCAGCAGGGGAGAGAGGGCAGGGTCCCCAGGGAGGGGACAGGAGGCAGTACCCAGGGCCACTGGTGGGGATGGGGCAGCCTCCTGATGGGTTCCCATCCTGCTTCTCTGCTACTCCCCACATCGCACTTCAGTGATGATTACGATGACACAGATGACGACGACCCTTTCAACCCTCAGGTACAGACCCTGGTCTGAGGAGGGGGGCTGGGGTGTCAACCCCTGGGTCTGAGGGAGGAGGAAGGGGCCCCACAGTAAATGACAGATCCTCACTGCACGTCTTCTCCCCGTTATCCTGCTAGGAATCCAAGCGCTTTGTGCAGTGGCAGTCTTCCATCTGAGCCTCCCCTCCAGCCTGGAGCCTGCCTCTCCTCTTCGGTAAGCTTCAATGGCACCTTGGTGTTCTGCTGGGCCTTGGCTTATGTATGGTACTCTGATGCTGGGTGGGTGTCCACGGGAGTGTCTCCTTCCTGTGTCAGCTCCTTCTCTCTCTCTCTCTAGCTCCTTTCCTGGCTGCTGGAGAAGGCCCCACTAACCTGACCCTGACTGGGTTCTGACCACTAACACTGCTGGCCATGGACACCTCACATAGGATGACATTCTGCTCTGGCCCCAACGTTTCTCCATCCCTATTTGTCCTTAACACAGGGGACTGCTGAGGTGGCAGAGCAGTGACCAGGGCTGACTGGGAAGGGGGCTGACCTACAGCTGGGTGTCCCTCACCTCTGGCTGGCTGCCAGTATTGTCCTTGGAGGGACTAAGCTGGAGGCGGGTATAAGGATGTCTGGGCTCATCTCCTAGCGATCTCAACTTGTGGCACTAACTTGGAAGAGGGTTGATTTGAAATAAAAGGGAAGACTATTTTACGAATAGCTAGGTCCTTCTTATTTCTTCCCTCCTGAGAGAGGAAATCCTGACTGGGCTAGGGAGACCCCTTCCCTGGTGGTTGAAAGGCAACTCTCCTCTTGTCCAGGCTCAGCACCGCTCTGGTTCTGAAAGTCACATGCATATCCTGACAATGGAAGAGGCAGATCCCAGGAAGAGAACAAACCTAGCATTAGATCTAAACGTGCGTGCATCCACAGGAACAAAGTCGAGCTTCCAGTCACGTGGAATGTACAAGGCCTGGTGGGTTTCGGAACGGTGTGGAATCAACTCGCTTCCTGGCGGCTCAAATCCAGCACGAGACGTCAGAAAACCTAAGTGTGTGCCAGTCAAGGGGCAGACCTGTTCAAAGAGAAAGTAGAATATCTGTATGGAGTGCGGCCAGGGTGATGTAGAAGGGGAGACTGGAAAGAAGATGAAATCTAGACAGGAAAAGATAAGGCAGCCTATGAGCTATGAAGTAAAATCAAACACGGCAGAGTAAAAAGGGAAATCTATTATCTGGGGAGTAATGCCTATGTAGTTCTCTTTTATAAAAAAAGGCAGCACCTATGACAAATAACCCACAGAAGCTTCTATTGATTTAACAAAAAGACAACTCAATTTAAAAGTAAGCAACTGAGATGAACATAGGAAAAAACAAAAACCCCACGACAAACTCACAAAGTTGTTCAAATTCTAATGATTTCCCAGCACGATGTCCTACTCCCCAGCCCAGTACTTACTTATTGTGACATTGAAGTGGGGTGCTGTCTGGTGCTGGTCTAGAAGCCCAGGAAGAGGTGCTCAAAATATGCTGCCCCGGAGGCTATGAATCCCTAGTTATGTGAGAAAAAAAAAAAAAAAAAGAAAAACCTGCTCATATGTGAAAGAATGAGAACTATCCCTCCACCTGGTGATCCTTCGGGGACCGAGCTTCCAGAAAAAGACAACAAGCAACTAAAAACGTGTGTGAAGAGGCCTCTGTCCGGGCAACACGTGGCCTAGTTAAATGCTGGAGACAAAAAGTCCACAAAAGGGAAAGAGAAGTAGCACTCTCTGGAAGACCAGCAGCTCTGTAGGGGAAGCCGGTAGAGCAGGATCCTCAAGTTGGGTGTGACAAACAGTGGCAGTAGGATGCACAAACACCAAGGGACAAAAACCCTGAAGGGCCTCTCACGGTGGATGGATACCTCTGGGCCCAGTCCTGGCACCACTGTGCTGATGCGGGCAAGTTATCTGACTCCTTGAACCTCAGTTGCATCGTCAAGCAAATGGGTATCTTCAGTCTAGACACGTCAGCTCTGACAGGACAGGTAGAAAGCAGAATAAACGCAACATGATGCTCTGGGTTACACTCCGGCACGGAGAAAACATTAATTAGAAAAGTATCGAAGGCTAAGTAAAGTCTGCGGCTTAGTTCAGAGTATTAAAGCAACATCAGTCAGTTTTATTACTTTTAACAAATAAACCATGGTGAATCCGAGGTGGTAGCAATAGGGGAAACTGGGAATACTATGCCCAACTCCCGTATTATCTTTGCAACTTTTTTTTTCTGTAAACCCAAATTTATTCTAAAATAAAAGTTCATTATAAAAAAAAAAGATGGGAAGAAACTATCATGCTAACAGTAACAAAATGATACAAAGTTAATCAAGTGTGTAATTACCAAAAGTCGCTAGTACAAAGTGTGACCGGAAGCTAGGCTACAAGGTGCTGTTTCTTTGTTTATTAACAGGGATCCCTAACTGAATGGCACAGTTCACTCTTTCGTGGTGTAAACAATGAGCTTTATGAAAAGCCTATTGTGGCCGGGCGTGACGGCTCACAACTCTAGTCCTATAGGGAGGCGGATCTCTTTCGAGTTCCCCGTCAGCCTCATCTACAGACTCATGCACATACGCACATACTTCTAGCTTCTGCAAGCCTCCTCTCTCTACACATCCCTCTACCCCGGCTACCTTTCCAGCGTCACAGCTCAATGGCTACTCCCATTCCTCAAGCGACGCGTGTTTCCTGCTTCCTTGGGTTCGCACTCACTGTTCCCCAGGCCAGGTGAGCCATTCCAGGTTTATTCACTAGGCAAGCCTACCAAGGGGAGATTCATCCTTATCCCACTCCTTTCTTTTTTCGAGACAGAGTTTCTCTGTGTAGTTTTAGTGCCTGCCCTGGATCTCGCTCTGTAGACCAGGCTGGCCTCAAACTCACAGATATCTGCCTGTTTCTGCCTCCCGAGTGCTGGGGTTAAAGGCGTGCGCCAGGCTGGCCTCGAACTCACAGAGATCCTCCGGGCTCCGCCTCCAGAGTGCTGGGATTAAAGGCGTCCGCCGCCGCCGCCCGGCTTCTTTTGTTGTTGTTGTTTTGGTTTTTGTTCTTTAACGTCACGGCGCTGTGCGCAGCCTCACAACTCCTGTCCCCATACTTTACATTTTAGGGCTAATGACTACTGCAGACTTTGTCAAAAGTAGGCTGTTATATGGGAGAGTTTACGGCGCTTGTCCCCACGGGGCCACCGTCCACGCCCTGCTTCCGGCTTGCTGACAACGCCCACGCGCAATTGCGTAGGCGGGAGGGGTGGAGGGTGGCGCAAACCCAGCGGTGACAGCCATTGGCTGGGCGCGACACGGGGCGGGTACAGACGTCCGGGCGACGTCATCACGCCGCGGCCAGGACGTTCCAGCCCCAGAGGAGCCCGCCGGTGACCGGGCGCTATCGCGGTTGTCTTGTAGCCGCCTTGGGCCGCCCGTAACGCATCCCGGGAGTAAGCGGTCCTGGTGAGTGTGAGGAATGGTGGGGCGGACTGGCAGTCGAGCACCGGGACTCCTTCGGGCCCCGCGCTCTGCGAGCCCGGGCCTGCTTGGGGAGGCTAACCGACGCCGCACCCAGCGTCTGCAAAGGGTGTGGCCGCCCGGGCGTCTTCGCGCATGCCCCGTGTCTGGTGCGCGCGGGCGCGCGCGACCTGCGCCACTGCGCGTGCGCACGCGCTTCCGCTTTGCCGTGGGGGGGCCCCGGGAACGCCGCGGTCCCCAGAGCCCCAGACGCTCCCCTGGCGGCCCCATTGACCTGCTGTTACGCCGGCCGCCGTGTTGCCCGGGGCAACCCAGAGAGAGGCCACCCTCGCGGCGTGGTGCGCAGGCGCGGCTGAGCTGGTGGCTGGCCGCCGGAGGCGGGGAAAGGAAGGTCGCTTGGGTTCAGGGCGACCACTATTTCCACCTGGTGTCGTGGACCCCATGCCTGCGGGACAGCCAGGTGCTTCTGAGCTTAAGAGTCCGTGTTGCCCTCGTCCATCAGACCCCTGCTCCCTAGGCCAAACTCCTAATACCAGTTAGTACCCTCAGGCTCTCCCACTTGCTTCCCTAATGTCGACCCTTTGACTCCACCCAGCGGCGGTCTGTCTGGTGTTTTTTGTTTTTTGTTTTTTTTTTTCTTTTTAAAGGTCTTTGAGGCCTGTCAGTGCCCCTAAAGCTTCCTGTAAGATTTCGGGTTCTTCATTGGGCTTCTTTGCTGTAAACCCTGTTGTTTGGGCCCCTGGGGCCCTGTCCCCAAGGCTGTCATGTTTCTTCCACCCCACCCTTCACCCTTAATGGTTTCTTAAGAGTGTTGTGGGTCTCCCAGGGCATTCTGAAGCTTTATCTGCAGACACCCTACCCAAGGGAGTGTCTGTTATTTCTCCCAGACCAGCTCCTGCTCCTAGGAACGTCCTATATAAGTCTCTTCTCTGTCCTCTGAGGACCCTGATGATTCAGGTTCTGACATCGAGTGACTTCACATGGAGAGAGCCTCCCCTACCTCCCACTCTCTGATGCTCCTCAGTGGGACACCCAGAGATGCCCTTTTTCTTTGGAAACTTTGCTCTGTTCGCTGATGTTCTCCAATCTCAGCTCTGTGCTCCTCAGTGTGTCCCCAGAAACTTCCCTCTTGCCAAACTTGTTGTTAGCTGATACTTTATTCACTGATAGTTAGGACTTTACTCACTGGAGTGCCTTCCTCCTGCTTTTTTCAGAACCTGTATCAATACTCTAGGAATTCTCTTTAGAGCCTCTGCCCAGGACTGAGGTCTCCCCATCCACCACCTCAGCCTGGTTTCCTCTCACATCCACTCTGCTAATGATAATTTCATCATCTTGTCTGTCTTTCATTTTCACATCCTGCATTTTAGGGAGTCCAGTGTCTTCATTTCATGCTTAAGGGTCTTCATTTCACATTAGGGATTCCCTCTGATTCTTTTGGCTGTTTGTTTTAGAGACAGGATTTCAACATGCAGTGTAGGCAGGCCTTGAACTCCCAAAAGAGTGCTGGGATTGCAGTCATGAACCACTGTGCCTGGTTTCTTTTCCATTCTTTACTAATGCTTCTATGAGATGCTCTCTTTCCTGCCTATCCTTTTATGGGTCTGATCTACTTTCTTCTTCCTCCTTGGGTCTAACTCATCTTTTTTCTTATAGACAGTGAAAAAGCAGTCTGGCTCCCGAGGTCCACTCCCTACACCCCAAGGTCCAGATGGCGGCCAACGTGGGTGATCAGCGCAGCGCAGATTGGTTAGTAGGGCTAGGGGAACATAGCCGTTGTGACGGGAAATAGGAACAAGACATAATGGGACCTCACATGGCTTAGAAGAAGAAATCCAAATTCCGGGGGCTAGGGTAGAGGGGCAAGCTTCCCCTCTGAGTTTTCTGTGTGTGTGTGTGTGTGTGTGTGTGTGTGTGTGTGTGTGTGTGTGTATGTATGTATGTGTTGTTCACACTCATGGAGGCCAGAAGAGGCATGACATTCCTTGGAGCTGGAGTTATAGGTGTCTTGAGCCACCTCACATAGGTGCTGGGAACTGAACTTGCAAAATCTGCAGGACCAGACATGCTCTTAAACACTGACCCATCTCTCAGCCCCCTCTTACTGTCTTTTTAATAATTCCTTTCTTTTTTTCCATAGTTGGCCATATCAGAATTCATTTACTTGTGAAAAATGAGTCCTCCTAAGGCCATAGGTCATGTAAAGTTTTGTACACACTGGTCAGCCTTCCATTTGCTTGGCACTTGCTGTGTGCCAGCTTCAGCTAGGGCTCTGGTAGGTAGAGAGCTTAGCTGTGGAACTTGGGCCTTGTCTACCTGTGTGCAGTAGGAGAACTCTGTCTCACCTTTGCAGGTCTTCTCAGTATGGCATGGTGGCTGGGGCCAGCAGAGAGAATGGCATGGAGACTCCCATGCACGAGAACCCAGAGTGGGAGAAGGCCCGCCAGGCCCTGGCCAGCATCAGCAAAGCAGGGGCTGCCAGCAGCTCCAAAGCCAGCAGCAGTGGGCCTGTGGCCAGTGCGCAGGTGAGAAGGACTTGGGAATCACTGTGCTAGGGCGGGGCTGTTACTCAGGATGGAAAGGATGCTGGCTTCTAGAGGATGGCATGCCTTAGGGGACTGTAAATGTGTTTTCCTGTTAACTAAATCTGGTGGAGGGAAAGGTCAACAACTTGGAGTCAGCCAGGGCCTGAGTGATCTTAAGGAGGGAGGCCTGCCCCATCTTCCATAAGCCTACACTTACTGTCAGGCATGGACTCTCTTTCTTTTCTGCAGTAGAGACCTTCCCTCTTGGGACTGTAGTTCCCATAGGCTCCTGTGGCTGGTACTCACTGCCACATACATGCCTCTGTCTCCACAGTATGTCTCTCAGGCAGAAGCCTCAGCTTTACAGCAGCAGCAGCAACAATACTACCAGTGGTACCAGCAGTACAACTACGCCTATCCTTACAGCTACTACTACCCCATGGTGAGTACCTGGCTGCTGGGCGAGAGAGTCTTCTGTCGATGTTGGGGAATGGTTAGTGGGAGTGAAGACAGACAGAGCGATGTTCAGAAACCTGTCAGTAGCCTCCAATGTGAACCGGCTTCCTGCTCAGGTCTCAGGA